AGGAAACCGGGGGAAACTTACGTGAGCATGGGGAGAGTGCAAACTCTGCACAAATGTCTGCTGGTTTGGTAAAACCTGGCACCAGAGACGTTCTTGCTGTGAGGCGAAAGTGCTAAGCACTGGGCCACCGTGTCACCCTTCTAGGAAGGAGGAGGAGTAGGTGTCTAAGGGGGGATTCTTCGGAAAGAAGAAAGCAGTGGAATGTAACCCAGGGTATTTTTAGTAGTTTAGGAGTCGTCTGATTGGTGCATTGTGAATTGGATAATGCTGATCCAGCCACTAGCAATCATAAGCACGTGATCCTCTCGAAATTAGTCTATAAGTAAACTTCACTAAAAAGAAAGTATGGATTTCTAAATTTCATTTGACCTGTATTGCATTGCAGACAATAAGAGCATAACTATTTCATGTGTTGTCTGATCAACTACATTTTATTTGTAAATATACATACTTTCCTTTCATTTAGACCTGCAACACATTCCAAAAAAGTTAGGACAAGAGCAGTTTAGGTAAATTAATCAGGTAAATTGGTTAAATGATGCAAATTTAAATCAGTCAATGTCAACAGGCGATTGTAATTATGATTAGGTACAAAAGCAGCATCAAAGAAAGGTCTAGTCCAGGATTGCCCAATCTCTGTTCTGGAGGGCCGGTGTCCTGCATAGTTTAGCTCCAACTTGCTTCAAAACCCCTCTCAGGAAGTTTCTAGTATACCTAGAAAGAGCTGATTAGCTGGTTCAGGTGTTTTTAATTGGGGTTGAACTAAAATATGCAGGATACCAACCCTCCAGGAGGGCCTTTAGGAGTACAGATGGGCAGAGGATCGCCAGTTTTGCAAACAAATATGTGAGAAAATTATTGAAATGTTTAATAACAATGTTCCTCAAAGAAAGATAGGAAGACATTTGGATATATCACCTTCAACAGTCCATAACATTATTAAAAGATTCAAGGAATCTGGAACCTAAGCTGAACAACTGTGATCTATGATCCCTCAGGCGGCACTGCATCAATTATCGCCATTCATCTATGAGCGATATCACCACATGGGCTCAGGACTACTTTGGCAAACCTTTGTCAACTACCATAATGTGTAGTTACATCCACAGATGCCAATGAAAACTGTACTGTGCTAAAAGGAATCCCTATGTTAACAGTGTCTAAAAGCGCAGTCGACTTCTCTAGGCTTGGAGGATCATCCAGACTGTTGCCAGCAACAAGCCCAAAGGCCAGGGTCTGTCATTGTATGAGTTTGTGTTAGTGCCCTTGGCAAAGGTAACTTGCACTTCTGTGATGGCACCATTAATGCGGAAAAGTAAATAAAGATTTTGCAGCACAATATGTTGCCTTCTTTTTAAGGGACCCATGCATATTTTAACAAGACGATGCAAAACCTAATTTTGCACTCATTGCAAAGTCCTGGCTGCGAATGAAGAGTATACAGGTACTTGACTGGCCTGCCTGCAGTCCCGACCTGTCTCCATTAGAGAATCTGTGAAGACCCTGTACTGTTGCTCATCTTAGAACTAGTTTGCAGGTAGAAAGGATGAAATTACACCTGGATCACTAGGTGTCTTCAGTCCCTAACCATCTTTAAAGTGTTGTGAAAAGGAATGGCAACATTACAAAGTGGTATATGCTTTACTGCTTCAACTTTTTAAATGTGTTGCAGGAACTAAAATTTGAATATGTTTTTATCTTGGAAAACAAACAAACAAACATACACCATACAAAAACACGATAAAATAATAAGGAACACTTATGTTTGTTGTACAAATAATTTTTGTTGTATTGTCTGCAATGAAATACAAGCTTTTTTTTTACTTTTTCCATACTGTCCTAACATTTTCTGATTTGGGGTTGTAATAATGGAATAGTTCACCCAAAATGAAAAGTTAATCACTATTTACTCACCCTCATGTGGTTCCAAAACCTGTATTAGGTTTGTTATATAACACAAAACAAGTTATTTTGTAGAATGTTAAAAACCGGTAACCTCAGACTTACATAGTAGGAAAAACAAATTCAATGGTTACAGGTTTCTTCAAAAAATCTTCTCTTGTGTAAATGACTGAATTTTCAGTCTTGAGTGAAGTATATTTTTTAATGAATCTGCTGACATATTAACACTTGTAAAACAGTTTTTTATTATACTAATGTGTATCTCAAGTGTTACTGTAACAAATGTTTTGCTTATTGATCATTAATGTTAATTAATAAATTAAACTACCTTAACTTTTGGAACCTTGTTGCAAATCGTTACCTGATTACCCTTGAAAACTTTAATGTTAGCCTTTTGTTACATTCTTCAATAACTCCATTGAAATGCATTAAAACCATTCAGCAACTGCATAGCAACGTCCTTGTCAGTTTAAAGTTTACACATAAGCGCCACATTTTCAGCAGAAGTACCAACTTAGTAGATAGCACTTTGATTTCAAATCTATCTCTCTTTAGCCAATAACATTTAGAATATGTTTTGTGTTCTCCTTCATTCTATTTCAGCTGGTTAGTGGCTAAAGACACATCTGCATATATGTTAACCAATTATGATGGCCCTAATTATAATGATTATACAGCAATTAAGGACAGATGGCAGTGGGTGTGTATAATCTTTCTGATGGCTTTTTGTCTGTTTCCTTTCATTCATTGATGAACTGATAATGTTTGAATACATTGGCTTGTCCTGTTGCACATATGCACTTAACTGAGGCTTTTTTTCACCAGACACATGCTATTGTTAAAAAGTTTGACTTTAGTTTTAATTTGCTCAACTGGATTGCATTTATTTGACCAAAAATACAGTAAATCCAGCAGTACTGTAAATATTTGAAATACTTATTTATATATATATATATATATATATATATATAATAAACATAAATTTCTGTAATAAAAGAAGACCTAATTCCAGTCTTCAGTGTGACACAATCGTTCAGAATTGTTTTTAATATGGTGATATGCTGGTCATTTATCCTTTAAAAATGTTCAAAACAATTATGCTGCCTTGCATTATCATTTTTGATGAATAATTTGTTTTACAATTTAAAAAATTACATCTGAATGTTTACTGTTACTTTTGTTCAATGTCAATAATTCCCTGTGAAATAAAAGTATTATTTTCTTACAAATAAAAAGCTGACCCCACAGTTTCAAATGAGTGTTCTGTAAATTTTATGGTGAAAGTGTGAATATACTTATAATTTAAATGCTTTGTCAGTGGTTCTCAACAGCACCCATTTTTACAATGAGAATGAAGTGGTGACCCCGACGTGATACCCAAGTTGTTTTCCATACAAAAGGTTTAAAAGTCCTTAAATTTCACACATTTGTTTGTAATATTTCCAAGTAATGTTTAGGTCTATCAGTATTCTAAATGATCAACTCTTTCCCCATCCATCCATATCTATAGTATCCATCCATAGTATCCATTCATCATATTCATCCATCTATCTATAGTACCCATCCATAGTATCTATCCTATCAATTCTATCCATCCATTCATTCATCCATCAATAGTATGTTTTTCTGTTCAATCCATCCATCCATCCATCCATCCATCGTATTCATTTATTCATTCATTCATTCATCCACCTATAGTACCCATCCATAATATCCATGCATCCATCCTATCAATTCTATTCATCCATCCTATCAATTCTATCCATCCATCAATAGTATCAGTTTGTCCATTCCATCCATCCATCCATTTTATCATATTCATCCGCCTATTGCCATCCATCCATCCATCCTATCAATTCCAATCTAGCAATTCCATCCATCCATCAAAACTTTTTGTCCGTTAGTTCCATCCATCCATCCATTTATCGTATTCATCCGCCTATCTATTGTACCCATCCATAGTAACCATCCATCCATCAGTCTTTTGTATCCATCCATTCTAGCAATTCCATCCATTGATCCATCAATACTATTCGTCTGTCCGTTCCATCCATCCATCCATCCATCCATCCATCCATCCATCCATCCATCCATCCATCCATCCATACATCCATCCATCCCTCCCTCCTTCCTTCCTTCCTTCCAATCAATTCTATTCACCCCTCCATCCATCCTATCAATTCTATCCACCCATCCATCCATCTATCAATTATTCTCACCCATCCATCCATCCATCAATTCTATCCACCCATCCATCCATCTATCAATAGTATCCGTCCATCCATTCGTTCCATCCATTCATCATATCATCCATCCATCTATTGTATCCATCAAACCCACCGCATCCTTCAAATCCATACATCCCATCGATCCTATCTATCATGTCCATCCATCCATCCATCCATCCTGGGTTAAATTTATATAGTTTATAATAATTTTAGCACTTGTTTCCACTTCTCCACTTGTTTTAAGTTGCAGTGTTTCTGTCCCCAATCACAAGATGCCCTCTAGGGCCCTCTGTGATGGTACTCTCTAATGTATAATAGTTAAAGCATAGGGAGCTGGAATATACCATCAAGGATGGGGAAAGAGTTAATGACACTAACATTTTACAAGTTACTTATAATATATACTATTTTGGTTTCTAAAGATTGATGGTCTTGTCAGACAAATAATTCACCCTATAAAACACATTGGGGTCAACATACTGTAAACCCTGTGAACCCATAATCAGTGTAGACTGTGTGATATTTGATATGTTTTTTTAGCATTGTCATGCAAAATCTGCATTTTTGCTTTTTAATGTCTAATAGTTGTTAAAAATACTGTAGACTTTTATCGCACACATCTTTTACACTAAAAACTAAACATTTACTTTATTCTCCTGCATTGATGTAAGATTTTATTGTTTAGCTTCTATCCCCCTGATCAGAGCAGATCTGCTGCCTGACAATTGAGAACCACTGCAAGTTTGTAGCACAAAATAATGCTAATATTATTTGTTCTAGAAAATGTCAACTTTCTGATGCTTGACTGGTGACTGAAGATGGCAGAGCAACAAGAAGGCATCCAGATGCAAGTGCTTCAAAAACACAAAGGTATTTCCATGTTTTTAAAGTTGATCTCTCTTTGATTCATCACATTATGATGATATGGTGCTCTTACAAAAATAGTGAGCTAACTTTTATGTCTGAACAAAGAGACTCCTAAAAAAAATCCAAGAAAAGCGTGGAAAATCCAGCTTTAAACAAAGAACAAAAAAACACATCCACAACACACACACATACACACTATACCCACAATTGAGCTCTCCTGTGGCGAGTCCAAGTTCAGCCAGGGTTGAAATCAAATCACAGTGGGAACTCATGGTGAGGTTACAGTCTTTGCAAACAAGCTTTTTTTATCTGGATGTTTTCAAAGCAGTCAAAAATATCTTCCGTTGTTTGGTGGTCCTCAGAAACATCCTTGTGGGCTGTGCTCAATTGAGCAATTACCGTCCACTGATCATGAGAGACTTTTTCAAATGGTTCTGCATGAATCGTTTGTCACAGCACTACACAACACAAAAGGATGAACGGGACAGGAGGTTTGAGCCGGTCGGACGCTAGACGTCGATTTCCTGTGGGGGAGAGCAGGTAGTAGCTATCATACAGCAACAATGGTTACGTCGAGAAAGATTTTGCTGGTTCATTTTGAATAGATTTGCCTTGCGTGCTTGCCAGCCCCATTGTGGGGGATGTTTATTGTTGGCCGATGTGACAACCAAACCGGTTTGGAAAGGGTGTCAAATTGAAGCTGTATCCACTTGCTCCACATTTGAATGAGGGTTTGAAGATGTGTGCCGCCCATTCAGCCTAATTCTTTTCAAATTACACTCCCTTTGTGTTGTAAAATCGCTGAAGCAAAATCCAGGAAGGGCTTTATCTGAGCCGCTGCAAATCATAATGGCCAGTAGTGTGCCTCCTCAGTGAATTGTGGGTACGTCTCCCATCCAGGCCCCCGGTAGCGGTCTGGGATACGAGTATGCATTCTGTGAAAACAAGCAGGGATGAATTAGATTTGCACGACAAATATAGCATTGTGTTTGGGCACATTTCCAGCACAATTGGAATGCGTTAAGCATGTTGTTTACACCCGGAGTCAATGCAGCCAAACAAATTAGCTTTCAAATGTGTTTAATTTGAAAGCATTCCCAAGATGATGTTTCTTGTGCAAACAATCCTCTGCTTTTAATTGAACTTAGCTGTCTTTAACTCTCGTTGAAGAATCAATTAGCTGCCACAGCTACTGTATATATTTGCTATCTTTCTTCCTGCACCTAGGAACACTTTTTTTTAAAAAGCATGTCTGTTCCCAATGCACCTCGGCATGTTTCACATCTGCTCATCTTCACGGGGAGATTAGCCTGTGCATGCAGTGAACAGCTCTTTGTGTTTAAAATGATAATTAAGCAGTGTAGGGACACAAATTTGTTTGAACTTCTTATTTTGATGTGTTTTTTACTTGAAGAAACACAAAAATTGTCCAACTCGTTAGCCTGTGTCAAACAGCAATACCGTTAAATATCTCTAAAATTACCAGAACGACTTTACCAGTAAATTAAAAAAAAAAGCACTGTTCACACATGCAAGGATGTTCTGGAATTTTTCCAGAAAAGACCATTTGCACACCCATTCCAAAATATAGGTAAATTCAGACATCATTAACCAGAAATGAGCTCTAAACGGCTGCGCTTGTATTCGTAAACATAGAAGTGGTCAGGCTTTTGTTGAGGATTTCACTTTTATTTAAAGAGACACCCAAAGGCAGAAGCGCGAACCACAGCTAAATGCTTACACATTTGATTACATTACACAACTTCTATCGATGGGTAAGTAAAAGTATTGTGAACAACTTCGATGAAAACATATTGAAAAACACTTTCGCATGTCGAGATGTGCATAATTTGTGTGTGTGTGCTGGTGCTCACGGGCTGCTTCACTTGCGCACGCATCAAGCAACTGAAGCAGAGCTTGAAGGTAAACCAACAGCCAATTAACATAAGCATATTATCGACAGTTTTTTTTGCACAGTTGGCATTCAGAAGGAACATTGTAATGTTTTATGTCCAATATCTAACAGCTAAATGTGTCTTGAGAATATTCAAAGGCTTTTATTTTCATAAACAGCGCAGATGTGAATGCGACTTGATGTTTTGATTGGCTGGAGTAGACGTCTCACGCTAGCATATTCTAATCGTAAATGTGATCTTTCCGGCAATTTTTCCTTGTGTTCACACAGAGCATCATTTCTGCAAATTACTGGTAATATTACAATTTCTCCTTCCGGAAAACTGCCGGAACGAGTTTATGGATATTTTTAAAAAGGGCCTGTTCATACATGATCCCTTTCCGGAAAAAGGGGCTGTTGACAGTCAATGTTGGGCACGTTTCTCTAAAAGCGTAATAAGTAATAGTTACTGGTTACTTTTCGCAAATAGTAACTGAGTTAGGCCCAATCCTAATTCTATCTTTGTACCCCTTCTCCTTTCCCTTTGGCCCTTGAAACAGAGTGTGAAGTAGAAGGGCTTCCAAATTTACCCCTAAGAACTGTGACACCTCTTCAGCACCTGGACATGTCATCATATGTCATTACAATCTCTTGTTTCATATGAGATAAGACTATTACAATTGCTGTAGTTATTCCAGTTGTGTTGTTGTTTGGTATTTATCTTCAGGAAATCCCTGAAGACATATATTATGTTATAATGTGGCAATACGATCCTAACTATAATGTGCATGTACACAGTGGCCATATTCATCTATGTAAACACTCCAAAAACAACATTAACATTATAGCAGACACTGTAAAAGCTCATTCCCAGCCACTAGACTTTTCTGACAGGGTACTCGCGTGTCATTGAGTGTCAGAATGTTGTGGGACTGCTATACAGGAGTTATTATTAGGGATTATAGAGAGTGAATTTTTGTAAAGCATGACAGTAAAACAAAAACGCAGTTATGAAGCAACGTCTCAAGACATCAGCCAGGAAATTAAAACTTGGCCACAAATGGGTCTCCCAAACAGACCATGAACCTAAGCAAACTGCTAAATTAGTTAAAATGTGCTTTAATGACAACAGAGTGAATGTTTTGGAGTGGCCATCACAAATCCCTGATCTCAATTCTATAGAAAATTTGTGGGCAGAGTTGAAAAAGCTTGTGTGAGCAGGACAGCCTACAAATCTGACTCCGTTACACCCGTTCTTTCAGGAGGAATTGTGAAGAAGCTTGTGGAAGGATACCTTATACATTTGACCAACGTTATACAGTTTAAAAGTAAAACTTAAAAATCCAAAGGAAATGTATGTAAACTTTTTACTGTCTTGAAATTAATAAAAACATCTCTAAAAAAATTCTCTCATTATTCTGGCATTTAGCAAATGTTAAGGATTTAGGTAATCCTAACGGACCTAAAATAGTAAAAGTTTAGTATGATTTACCATCAGACATTTTTTTTTTAAATGGTTTTGTTCCTATTGTTAGAGTGTATGTAAGCTGGTTTCAACGGTAAGATCTAACATTACATTCTGTATGTGTCTGTACTCAACTCTTTGTGGTTCCTCTAAAATCAGCTTATATTGCAGGGAGTTTAATAAAACCACAGGTTCTGCATTGTTCTATTCTATGATGTAAGAGGTTGAATAAGCTCCGCCTCCACAAACATATCAAAACCTGCTTCACTGCAAAACTGTCAGCCAATCACAACGAGTGTGATTTTTGCATCTATAATTGACCACGCCCATTCAAACAGACCATTCTGATGGTCAAAAATAGGAATCAATCATTTTCCTTCGACTTAGTCCCTTTATACATCAGGGGTTGCCACAGTGGAATGAACCACTAACTTATCCAGCATATGTTTTACACAGCCACATATGTATTACATGTACCACATGTCTTTGGATTGTGGGTAAACCCACAGCGTAAAATATATGCCAGAATAGTTGGCAGTTCATTCCTCTGGGGTGACATCTGATAAATAAGGGACTAAGCCAGTGGTCACTAAACTTGTTCCTGGAGGGCCGGTGCCCTACAGATTTTAGCTCCAATTCTAATCAAACTCACCTGAACAAGCTAATCAAGGTCTTACTAGGTATACTTGAAACATCCAGGCAGGTGTGTTTAGGCAAGTTGGAGCTAAACCCTGCAGACACCGGCCCTCCAGGTCCGAGATTGGTGACCCCTGGACTAAGCCGAATGAAATTAATGAATGAAATTATGATGCTTTTTAAAAATATCTTGTAAACAATGGACCTCAGAGAACAGTACAAAAACTGAGGTAGTTCATGACCCCTTCAAAAAAACTAAAATATTCACACACCCCTCAGTGAGTACAAAAAGAATCACAAGCAAATAATAACACAAAGGCAAAGACTTCGAAGTCTTTTTGATTTTGAAGACTTCAAATCTGTCAGCTCCAACAACCAGAGACTAAATTAAAATAGTCCCTTCTGGTAAGGAGACCGTTCATACATGGATGTTTTGCCTCAATTGTCCACAGTGGCTCTGCATCTTCTCACAAACATCAAAGCAATTTGTTATCCCGTTTAAAACATCTTTTCCTGTAGTCAACAAGCTTCATGTAATCATTTGCCCAACAGAGGAGTGCGCATGCTGTTTTTATTTTGCAATGTTAGTTGAATATATGATCTTCATTCTGTGAGAAGACACACAAAAACCAGTAGGGGTCTAATCTTTCAATCGCAGGGCTCCATGGAGAGTTGTAATTATTATGCTTATGAATAACTCATCTATCATGTCTTGTAAAGTGGATGAAGTGAGCTCTGCTATCCGTGTTTCTTGAGCTGATCAAGGAGAGTATGGTGTACTATTCATAAAGCCAATAGAAGCTATATGGCACGACTTGTTTTTTTTTAAGTTAACATAATAACACTATGAACATTTGTATGCTGGACAGTACATGCAGTGTATGTGTATTATGTGTAATATGACTCGTCAGATTAGAAAAAGTCATTGCCTTTTTATTAAGTGTAAATAACTAACCTTGAGTCGTTGAATAAGCTATTCTCACTTATCACACCTTTGCTTAAATGGATTTTAAAGGTACAGTATTTAAGTATGACACCCAGTGGTTGAGCTAGGTATTGCACTCCTGAAACAAAACATTTTTACTTGACCATGCAAGCGCATGTTGCCTGACTGACATGAATGTGCCTGACTATTAAGACTTACGACTGATTTAAGACTTATCCAGCAAGTTTTTACGCAGTTTTTACACAGCGGATACCCTTCCAGCCGCAACCCATCTCTGGGAATCATTCACACACACATTCAGACACACTCATACACTACAGACAATTTAGCCTACCCAATTCACCTGTACCGCATGTCTGAAACCCACGCGAAGGCAGGGATAACATGCAAACTTCACACAGAAATGCCAACTGAGCCGAGGTTCGAACCAGCGACCTTCTTGTTAGGTGACAGCACTACCTACTGCACCACTGCCTCGCCCTTTTATTTTCACTTATTCATAACATAATGTTTTATGTTCCAATTTGCATTGGGTATAATCATCAGCTACTGCAATATCTGTATTATTGTATTACTGTAGATTTATTATAAACAGCCATTGAATAAAAAAGTAAGATGGATTTTATTTTATGGTCAGCAATTCAAGTATACTGGTGTTTTTAAATTTACTTCGTAAGCTAGATCAAAATGGCAAGTATGGATGGAAATCGTTGTGTATTTACTGATAAAGATTCATATTATCAGTAAATAATATGCCTCCTTTGGTAAATTGGTTTGAAAAAAGAAGTCAGAATTATTAGTCCTCTCGTGAATTTTTGTTTTCATTTTCAAATATTTCACAAATGCTGTTTAACAGGGCAAGGAGTATTTCACAGAAACAAGAATCAGTCCAAGGCACTCGAATAAAGTGAAAAATGTAAAAAGTCTTTATTCACATGGCTAAATCTCTAAAAACCTACTCGTTTCGGAAGAAGTCTGCCTTCATCAGGGTAAC